ACTGGCTTTATCATTCCTGCCCGGATCTCCTTGGGCTTTGCAAATCCAACCAAAGCAGCAGTTTCGCTGTGGTTTCTGGTCCGTGTCACATGGAGGTTCTCACACACAGCCACCAACTCTCCAGGTGCAAAATCATCAGGAAAAATTTTATTAAATTTTCTAGACACACCTACTGTCAGTTAAGGGTGATGGTAGTCCTGGAAACACAAAGCTACAGGAGAGGGATGTGCTGATCCTCCACTCTGTCAGGTATTAGAGCACAGACCATACAAAGCCCCCTGGACCAGAGAGTTTTCAGGGTGCAGGGGAACCCAAAAGCCTCATGCCACAGTGTCCTGTGATTGAACCAGCACTCAAGACCCCCTCCAGCACTGCACAACCCCCCCAGAGCCCAGCCAGGCTCTGGCAGGGCTGGGTGGAATCCAGCACCAGCCCATTAAACCTCCCCAGAGACAGCAATGCAAAGCCTGGCCATGCTGGGAAAACCCCCTCCCTCCTGCCCTAGATGGGGAAATGCTCTTTTCCATACAATAGGAAAAGAAAAACAGCAGGAAACCAAGAGCTGAACATTAATATGAAATATGGCCAGCTCCCCCTGCACATGAGGGAGGGAGAGGAGGACAGATCTGGCTGCCTGGGAGCCAGTGCTGGGGCAGAAAAACCCTTGGAGCTGCAGCGGGGACAGCGGGAGGAGAGTCTTGGGGAGATGGATGGGCCGTTCCCATCTCAGGGCTCTGATGTGGAGCCTGTTACAACCCTGGAAATCATCTCTGCTGAGAGCTAAAGCCAAGGAAACACCTTGCCCTTCGACCACAGGCATCCCAGGTGGAAGGCAGCCAACAGCAAATACAATAAGTCCTCCCTCCCTGGAAACCGGGATAACACGAGTGCGGAGACAGCAGGCTCCGGTCCTGCCTGCTCTCCCCTCCTGGGGGAACTTCTGGCTCCTTTCCACCAGCTAAGTACCAGAGAAGCCTCACACTGGGCTCCTGCTGAGCATGGTCCCTCTGCTCTGCCTGGTACAAACCTCATCTCTCCCCTCCGTCCCCCAGCAGCGGAGGGAAGCGATCCCATCCTGCTGAAGGGTGGGCAGGAGCTTCATGCTGTGGTTACAGAGGATGCCTGTCTCAAGCTGCACCTCAGAAGTCTTTTGTTTTCAGTCATGAAATGGCAGCACCCCACCAAGGCAGCCCAGGTGTGTCCTCAGCCCTCGTCCCAGCAGCCCCAGGCTCCATCCTGCATCATCTCACCGCCAAGATGGGCACGGTGGCTCCCACTTTTCATCCTCAGTTTCCTCCTGTACAGATACGAGGAGAGCTGACCCAGAGCATGTTTTGGCCTGGTCACAGAAGAAGCAGGGGCTCCTCCTGCCCACCGAGTCGCTGCTGCCTGGGAGCTGCCTCCAGAAGATGTCACAGCAATTAAAAACACTCATTTGCTTCCACTCTCCCAAGCCACATCCCTGCAAACCCTCAGGCAGAGTCCTTGCGCCTCTTTTGTTTAAGTGTGTGTACAAGTATCTATATAAATATTATATCTACGGGCATAGAGAGACACATAAGAAGGGAGATTAGCGAGCACAGAGCTTGGTTGCCCTCCTGCCGAAAAGGCAGCAAAACCCCAGCTCATTCTGTGTGTTAGTGACAGAGGGTGATTAATGCCCCAAACCCCTCCGGCTGCTGGGATGTCCCCTGCTGTGCCTAATTGGTCCTGAGGGAATCTCCTCATCCACCTACCCTTCCTGAAAATCTACTTTAGCAACAAAATATCCACTTGCCACTGAAGGTGGGTCTTTTAAGTTCCTTTTATTTTCACACTCGACCTTGTGGAGCTGAGGGACAACAAGCCAGGACTGTATCAGGTCTGACTAAAACCACTCCTGGTTTCAGTAACCGGTTGGGTGGGGCTCGGAGCAAACTGGTCCAATGGAAGGTGTCCCTGTCCATGGCAGAGGGTTGGAATGAGATGAGCTTTAAAGTCCCTTCCAACCCCAAAACATTCTACGATTCTGCGATAATTCACTGGGAACCCCCAGCTTTGCCCCAGCACCCCACGCCGATGGGCTGCACCCCCCACCACAGCTCCAGCAGCACCAGAACCCCCGAGCGCGACCCAAAGCTTGGGGAAAACAGGGAAAAAACACTGGGCTTGGCCAAACCTTCCCCTTGCGAATACCAGAGCGGCTGACAAACCAGTTTGGTCACGCAGAGGCTGGTTGTGCTTTCATGTCTAAGGAGAGAAAGGAAACCAGACGCTCGGTCTTGCCCCTCCACCGGGGTGGGAACCGGGGGGGACGCGACGTCCCCGCTGCCGCCGCCGCGGCCCCTTGCCCGGCGGGCGATGTTCGCCGCAACAAGCGGGGATTGTTCTGGGGGAGAAGCAGGAAGAAAGCAGGGCTGTTGGCGCTGCGGTGACTCACGGGGCTGTAAATCACACCGGGGGACTGCCGGCTGACTCGGAGCCGCTCGCCACATCCGCGCTGCCGGCGGCGGCTCGGACAGGAGACCCCACGGGTGCCGCGTGTCCACGCAGAGCCCAGCGATGCCTCACAGGGGGGATGCCTCCTCCTCCTCCTCCTCCTCTCCCCCGCTCCTTCCATTGCCGTGCCGAGGCTGAACAGCGGGAATTTCTCACAGGAAGAAGAATTTCTTCCCCTTGTTTCAGAGGGAAGATGTGGGGTGCCCCGGGAGCACGCAGGGGTCCCTGCTGACCTCCCGGCCCCACCATGTGCCGGGTGGTACCCAGAGACCCTCGCTCCATCCAGGCTGTGCTCAGCATCCAGCATCCCAGCTGGATGCTCCTTAAAGGAGCTCAGCCGGACACTGGAGCATTTCTCGGCACAAACACAGCTCAGAGTCCTAAATGTAAGTCCTTGGGTGGCTGAGGGGGAAAACAGGCAGGCCATGAGCAAGATAGGAAGGAGGAGTGCAGGATAGGGGGGAAAAAAATGAAAAAAAAATCCTAAATGAGAATGTCCCAGTCCCAGAGTCTTGCTCACCATTCCCATTCACTTCCTTTCCTAATTTCCCCCCTATTTTTCTTCCCACTGCAACAGACCTGTAGCTTCTCACACAAATCTCTGCAGATTGTCCTTTGTCCTTGGCACCACCAGCACCTCCCTGTGCTCCTCACTCCCAACACAGGCTGAGATCTCCCATGCCCTCTGTATTTTACACAGTTCCCCCGGGATCAGGGAATCTCGGGCATTACCACAGCCCAGGCAGACAACGTGCTCTCTCACATCAGACCCTCTCCTATCTGGAGCCTGCAGATGATAAGATGATTTAACAGACAAATGTTTCAAATTAAATTTCCCAACTTTCCTTCTTTTTTTCTTTTACCCTTTTTCTTTTTTTTTCGAGCTGCAGTTGATATGGATGCAGTGAAAACATGGGCTCAAGCCAGGAAAAGAGCACAACTGGACATTTTCTCAGTCTTGTGCATGTAAGTTTACACAGCCCATTGTTGCTAACTTTGGCTATTTTAAAAGCAACAACAACAACAAAAAAAAGCTTTGGAAGGAAAGCCTGGCTCTGAAAGCCACAAGTTACTAGAACTATTTGATGTTATGTGAGAATTTCAGCTTCCTTCTAAAAGAAAATTAACTGCTCAGTTTATTTAGACAAGCTTTCTCACTCCATTTTCGTTGTGTGTGTTGTCCCAAAGTCCCTGGGCAGCACAGCCCATCCCACTGGGGAAACTGAGGCAGAGAGACAGGAAAGTCATTGTCCAGCCCTCCTCACCTGGGATCTGCCACAATCCTGGGATATGCTCTAAGGCTTTCAGGGAAAAGTTCTCAGAAGCCACCAGTGAGAACCTTTTTAAACCTCTTGCCCTCAATCAGTTACTTTTCTTTTACAGTGAATTTTAAATTATTGATTTTCTGAGCATAAAATCTTCGCAGATTTTTTTTCTCCAGGTGGCATGAGGGGCTGGGTTGAGGTTTGTGCACAATGGGACAAGCACACCCATAAATAACCTCTCTGAAACAACATCTCCCAGCATAAGAAACCTACACATGAAAACAAGCCTCCAAGCATTTATGTCCACTTTTACAGCATGTGAAAAATCACAATTAATTCATGAGGATTTGCTGACTGGGGTTTAAAATTAAACGTCTGTGCAAATCTACACTGGATCGATGCCCAAACAAGGAAAAAGTCCCCAACACAAACCCTTGCTCACCAGCCAAATCTCATACCTTGTCCTCCCAAAACAAACAGGAAGGGATGGTGGCACAACATGACAATGATATGGGGACAAACAAAAGAAATCCAAACAGAGGTGATGGGGAAAGCCCTGGGGAGAGGCAGGGAGGGGAAGGACTGGCATTTGTCCCCTCCTGATATGCTGGGAGATGGAAAGGTTTTCCTCATGCAAGAGTTCTGTTGTTGTTGAGCTCTGTGGACAGGTGGGTTGGCAGAGACACATCAACCGTGGGGACACCTGAAGACAGGCTGAGAGAGCTGGGGTTGTTCAGCCTGCAGAAGAGAAGGCTGCAGGGACACCTGGAGCCCCTTCCAGTGCCTAAAAGGGCTTTAAGAGAGCTGGAGAAGGACTTGGGACAAGGGCCTGGAGTGACAGGACAAGGAAAGATGGCTTTAAACTGAAGGAGGGCAGAGCTAGATTAGATATTGGGAAGAAATTCTTCCCTCTGAGGATCATGAGGCTCTGACACAGCTTGCCCAGAGAAGCTGTGGCTGTCCCATCCCTGGAAATGTCCAAGGCCAGGTTGGAAGGGGCTTGGAGCAACCTGGTCCAGTGGAAGGTGTCCCTGCCCATGGTAAGGGGTGATTTTGAGAGTCCCTTCCAACCCAAACCATCCTGGGATTCTGTGACACACCTCCACACACAGCACATACAGGCACACACCTCGACATTCCAACACAACCCCGTGGCACAGGCCCATCTCCAGCTGGCACAGCCACACCCCGTGACACACACACGCCACAGGTACCCACGGCACACCTGCGGATGCACAGGCACTCACAGGCACTCACCTGTGGTGGGAATGTACCTGGGAGACAGGGGCACACCTATGGCACGGGCACACCGGGGCCATGGGCACACAGGGGGGACACACACCTTGTGCAGGGGCACACAAGTGCCACAGGCACACCCAGAGCACGGGCACACCGGGGCAGGGGCACACCGGGGACAGGGGCACACCGGGGACATCCCTCAGCGCAGGGGCACACCAATGGCATGGGCACATGGTGGGGACACGCACAGACCCGGGGGGACACGGGCACACCTTTGGCACATGGGCACAGCCGGTGCACGGGCACACCCAGGACACGGGCACACGGAGACACACGGACACACGGGGACACACGGGGACACACAGGCACACGGGGACAGGCGCACACCAAGGACACGGGCATCCCACGCCGGCCGGGAGCAGCCGGCGGGCAGCAGCGCCCGTCCCATCCCGCTCCCATCCCGCCCCGCTCCCGGTTGCCGGTGCCGGCCCTACTCCGCCTGCCGCCGCTGCCCCGGGGCCGTGCGGGCTGTGCCGGTGCGGGCCGTGCCGCCGCCAGCAGCCCCAGCGCCAGCGCGGCCCGCAGCGGTCCGGCCATCCCGGCTCCGCTCCCGCCGCTCGCTCGGCCCGGAGCCGCCGCCTCTCCCGCCCCGCCCCGGGGCGGCCCCAGCCCCGGCCGAGGGCAGGGCTCCGCCGGCGCACCAGGCGGAGGGGCTGCCCTGCTCGGGGAGTCCTCGCCGCCCCCCGTCCTGCTCCGGGGGGGATGACCCCCCGTGCCCCGTCCCCAGGGAGCATCCCGCTGCGGGTGTGTCTCTCCGGGCTGCTCAGGGTGCTGGGGCAGCGGCTCTGCCCAGTTTGAAGCTGGAGGAAAGACAAGGAGAAGGTAATTCCTGCTTTCCTTAAACCCGAGTTCATCCAGTCCACCCCACGCGGATGCAGAGCGCGCGAGGGCTTGGAGGGCCGGGGGTCCCTCTCTGCCAGCACTTGCCATGAGCACAGAAGGCTGGATGGGCAATGCTGTCCCCTCTTCGGGGGTCTGGCAAAACCCTCGGTGCTCTCTCTAGCTTTAGATAATAACCACACACTCAGGTTTGTGGTTTACACTTAAATTTCCCTCCCAGGTGTGGAAGGTGGAAAAGGAACCAGTGGACAAGGATGGGCCGTTTGCCACCCAAGGCAACACACTGTGCCTGTGTCAGTGTCACAGCTCTCCTGCAGCTCGGACACAGCTGATCATCTTGTGCCTTCCACTGACAGGTCAACAGCTCTGTTTACTCACAGCAGTATTTTGTTTTAACTGTTTTGTTTTAATTTGACTAAAGCAAAAGGATGTTTTGATTCTGCTTTGGTTCAGGGGGAAAAAAAATAGGATGTGACTTATATGTGCTTTTGTTTTCATGCCAGCTTCAACCCCACACCTATTTTAAAGCTCCCAGGCCTCTTCCTCCTCTTTTTAAACATGCCAAAACCTGAAGTTACAGGAGCATCTGTTGAGCACAGCCTGAAGAGATCGGCAGGGATCCTGTGACACATTGTTTTTTAGTTGGACAGGGTTGAGCATGTAGGGGAGGGAGGCAGGATTTGAAGGAGAGAGAAAGGGACCTGCATAACACGACAAAATAGGGAAGACGCTGAGCTATGAGGAAAAAAATAAAGGAGAAATTAAGAAGGTGACATCTGGGCCAGTAAGGGCTGACCGAGGGGCTGTCAGAGAGCACGGTGGGCAGCTGGCACAGCCTGTGCAATGGTGTGAGGGGAATACTCAGCCCTGGGAGGAGGGAGAGCCAAGGGATGGCCGCTCCTTACACAGGTCAGCCTCGCGCTTCCTTTCAAAACAAGAGCAGCTCCGTCTGCAAATGCGTCCGTGTTTGCGTGGTATCTAAGGAAGCAACTGATCCATCTGCTCTTCCACTTAAGAATATGGATGATGAGAAAGTGACTGGCTCGGCTCCAGCGGGAGCAGGAAACTCCCTCCTCTGCTCATTGTAATGTGGGGAAGCGTCTGGGAGGGCACCTGCAGCCCCTGGAGCAGCCAGCTTTCCGACCGGGCACTTCCCGGGGCTGCTGCCTTAAGTCCTCAGGGGTTTTGGCATTCAGATGGAGAAGAGATCAGCCCAGCCTTGGAGATGCCAAATCATATTTCTCTGCAGATTTTTGGCTGGGAGTATAAAGATGTTTTTCCAGCTGCTGTAATAGGAGCGGTATCAGGAACAGAAAAACTATCTCGTGGAAAGGTGAACAGATTTCCAGCTCTCTCAGTGTTGAGAAAGAGCTCAGAAATGAGGCCAAGAAAAAAATTTGAATCCTTGTAACTTCTACCCCAAAACTGAAACCTGACAGGGAAAAAGCTGACATAGTTCTACTAAAAAACATTCTCAAAAGAGCATGATAAATAGATCCATACAAGCTCTGTCTGCTTAAACATCCTCAGTTTCTTGGATTTATGGACAAAATGCCATCTCCCTTGAATTTAACTCAAAAGGTCTCAATGCAATTATTGAGCTTGATTTCCAAACCCTTTCCTAAGACACCTACACAGCTTGAACTTAGAGATCCAGAGGGTTCCTAATTTAATAGCACTATCATATTCCCCTGAAATCATCACGAAGCACTGAGTGCCACTACCACAGGCACGGAGTCTGGGATGGGGGAGTCTGCTTTGTCGACATGGGCACAGCAAGAGCAGCTGAGCACTGCAAAGAGCTGAAGCCCCAGTGAGTCACCCTCAGAGGTGAGACTTAAGAGTTTATAAACCAACATAATGAAACAGCACTTAAGTGACGTGAGCTTTTCTCTGAGCAGCTTTGAATGTTTACCACAACTGATAAGCAAATAGCAACACCATTACTCCTCTGTGGCAGCTCCTACCCAAGATGGATGTGATGCACAAGAACCGACAGTTAAAAACCTTTAATGCTTTGCACTAAGACCTGGGTTGATTTGTTCTGTTTCACCCACTCCAGAACAGCCATTTTCAGGCATTTGCTGCTCCAGGATGGCTCACTGGGTGCTGTGTCAGGCAATGTCCAAAATACTCATCCAGCTGCTGGAAGGTGGCCAGATCCAGGACCACTTTGGATCAGATCAGAGGGGCACAGTCACAGCTTTCCCTCCCGACCCCAGCCTGCAAGAGGCAAATTCTTTACCAAGGCACAAGCAGCTTACGTTCCCCAAGCTTTGGCTGTCACAAGGGTGAAGCTTTTCTGCTCAGACACTGTTTTCTCAGGTACTTAATTCGTGCACAGTAAGTTCTCACAGGTCAAAGGACTTTCCCGTGTCCTCAGTGTGTTAGAAAGTCTGTCTCTCCCAGTATCCTGTCCCCAACAGAGCCAGGAACAGACACTTACCAGAAGGGTGTTACAGAGAAAATGCAAAGTCTGTGCAGACTTCCCTTGGCTTTACCTTTTGTGTGCAGAGTTCCTGGAAGTCAGTGAGGTCAAGAGGCTGCATCCAGCTGACGAGCCCTCCTACAAACACATCAATTTGCTGGATTTGTTTGAATCTCACCAGTTATTTGCTCAGAGGACAGCCAAAACCGTGCACCCCTTTCAAGGATCAGGGTGGCACCCGAGTTCCAGCAAACCTTGGTATGAAAAGTGAACTTCTGAGCAGCTTGGGGTGCGTTCTGACAGCTGTGTTTATTACAACAGCTTATTATTATTATTATGACAGCTGTTTATTACAACAGCTTTACAAGCAATTGCTACAGCAGCATTAGCAGCATCATCTACTGGGACAGCACCACACGAGCTCTTCGTTACCCTGAAAATGGGAATTATCAGTTCTAGATTAGGCAAAGCAGCACAGATGGAATCCTGCCCTCAAACCCCCAAAGACTTGAGTTACTGGCTTCAGTCACTGCTCCCATATCTCTCTTTAGGACTGTGGTATTCGAGATACTTAAAAGTTGCATTTCTTCTCAGGGTGAGGTGGGTTTGGCTGCAAAGAGCCAGCATGGAAACTATTCGGCTGCCTCTGAGATTGTTTAGCTATTATTGTGGCATTTCAGCTCTGTAACGATCACATGCCTCTTTTGCATTGGCATCCCTCTTTTCTCCACGAAGTCCTTGTTGAGCTTGGCAAGTGTTAGATGTGTTTTTATAAATAAACCACCAGCATTCCATACGGGACTGATTCCCAAAACGAAACCCTCACTGCTTAGAAAATGTATTATTGGAGGATAGATCATAAATAGAGATGAAGGCAGCAGAGCAGAGCTGTTCTTAGCTATGCTGAGAACAACCCAAACTCCTTCTTTCTGCTGGGATAGCCTCTCCTGGTTTTCCACCTCCTGATAAATCCACTGTCCTGTCCCTCCTTAGTTTGGAATTTTATTATATGAAGTCCTGCCAAATTCTCATAGGGCACTGTGAAGAGCTAAAATCAATTCAATCCTTAATATACTAATTTTTATACGCTTTTTACTTTCCTTTTAACCTCAATTAAAGCTTATCCTGGTGAACTTTAGGCAGTTGTGGAGAAAAACTGCAGCGCTAAAGGACTTGGCAGAAGCAGTCAGAGGGCAATGACATAGTTAAACCATCATCTGGGTTTATCTCTTTTACAGAACATCACTTCCCGGGCCTCCCTGAACTAGTTTAACTCTCTCTACACCAAAAGCAACTAAAACAACCCACACTGGCCCCAGCACAGCCGGGTTTTGCTCAGCTCAGCCATTCCCAACTCTCTGCTCAGCTCCGAGGGCTCTGGGTGCAGCCCCAGCAGGGACACTGCTGATCCCTGCTTTCCTTCCACTCCATCCAGCTCCCTCTACTCCTGGATGTGCCAGTGCAGCTGTGGGCAAGAGCACCCTCTAGCCTCTTCATTCCAAATACTAACTCCAGCTTAAAAACCATCAACCTCCAACTTTTCTAGCCCAGCAAAACAACAGATACTGAATTTGTCAACAGTTTGCCTTTCTGAAGCCTCACATGCCATACATTAAATTTTATACTGCCACTAACACACATATACCTCAAATTCCACTGTTTTAAGAGGAACAAACTGCCCACAATCCATGACAGAGGCATTTCCTGACAGAGCAGTTGCTTCCCAGGAGAAACCTGAAAAGGGCCCAGCAGAGTCACTACATTTACAGCCACGGGTAATGCTGATTTGAACTTGGTTACCATGACCATGAATGCACACCAAGCTGGGGAGCTGCCTTACAAACCTTAACAAAAGCCAGTTTTGTTCATTTCTCTGTGAGATATTTTGCAGCTCTGTGAGCCCAGTTGTAACTACAGACCCCAAGAACTTGTATTTATAGTGTTGCCCCTGGAATACTGGACAGCCAGACGTTCTTTCTCAAAGGCCTGTGATGCAAAGGCAGCACTGGCCATGAGCTGACTGGGGCAGTGCCAGCTTCCCAGATTCCCAGCACCTCACCTATGCAGAGGAGGGATAATGAACTTCCATTGTTTCTTCATCCTTTGGCTTTGCATCTGAATCCCAAATTCTCACAATTCATCTACTGAACCTCATCTGTACCTGACCTCAAATAAATCAGCTACACACAGCACTTGTTTGCATCACCCACATTTCAAAAGCAGCAACTAGAGGTACAGTAAGGTATAGTAAACCACCTTTTTCTTTCTT